ACTACTCTGAAAACTCCCCTATCCCTTATGTTAAAACTAGGTGAAAATGTAAAGGTGTTATCATGACAAAGGGTTAGCAAATGATTCAGATTAAGGTAGAATCCTTTAAAAATTAAAAAAAAATTTTTTTTTAAAGCCCCTGCAATGAAAAGCCAAACCTGAGTCAATCAAAGGGGGCAAAACCTGCAGTTCCAGTCAGAAAGTAATGTAGCTATGGCCACTAAGTCAAGGATCTCTGAGGCTGAAATAGATAGTGTCATTAATAATGTCCTTGCCACATGATAAAGAGCTTTGTATGGACCAAAAACATTGGAAGTTCATTTTGTTGAAAAGCAAGAAACCTCAATGCTTCCGGAAACCAAAAGTAAATATCCTCTGCTTACAGGTCTGGAGCTGCTCTCTTTCACCATGCTCCTAATCCCTCCCTCCCCCTGAACCTTGACCTCAGCTGCTTTAAGGAGAATGATCATTTTAAGTGGGACCAAGAACACCCAGTCTTCAAAAGGGCTTGAAGGTCATAGCCACCGACATGACTATGTGACAAACACTGGGGAAGGAGAGACTCAAACTTTTTTTTTTTTTTTAATTTATTTATTTGACAGAGAGAGATCACAAGCAGGCAGAGAGGCAGGCAGAGAGAGAGGAGGAAGCAGGCTCCCCGCTGAGCAGAGAGCCCGATGCAGGGCTCGATCCCAGGACTCCGAGATCATGACCTGAGCCGAAGGCAGCGGCTTAACCCACTGAGCCACCCAGGCGCCCCGAGACTCAAACTTTAATGGCTCTCTTAGATTCAGATTCCCAAGTCACCATCCTGTCTAGTCCCTTGGGAAAAGTGGGTGTCTGAATTCAGCTAATGGTGTTTGAGCAAAGTTTGCAGTAGGGAAAGAAAGCTAACATGATTCTGTACATGGGGCCCTTTGGGCCAATTCAGTGGATTATTGCTGTGGCTTCTATCTGAATGATTGGGCAAAATTCTGACAAAGGGAAGTAGTCTCTATCTGGAGGCATTTCTTGGGGATTTGGACTTGTTGCCTCCTCAGCATGTCTACTAGGGGTATCATTTTTATTTTTTATTTATTTTATTTGTTTATTTAACGAAGAGAGACAGCAAGAGAGGGAATACAAGCAAGGGAGTGGGAGAGGGAGAAGCAGGCTTCCCACTGAGCAGGGAGCTCATATGGGCTCAATCCCAGGACCCTGGGATCACGACCTGAGCTGAAGGCAGATGCCCAACAATTGAGCCACCCAGGCACCCTGGGATATCACTTAGAAAAAGCATATGTTAGGGGTGCCTGGCTGGCTTAGTTGGTAGAGCTTACAACTCTTTATCTTGGCATGGGAATTTAAGTCCCATACTGGGTGTAGAAATGACTTAGTAACTAACTAACTAAATAAATAAATAAAAGCAGATATTAGCTTGCTAGTGGGTTTTTGTCAAACCTGAATGCCTTATCCAAGGAGATCTTGTGGCTCTTGTGTCCAATATTTCCATTTGGGGGAACCAGAACTCAATGCCTAACAAGGAAGGAAAGGCCCAACAAGCATTCTTTGTCCAATGGAAATGGTGTATTTAAGAATGTAACCAGCCTAGGCACATTGGCATCTTTGCTTTACATGAAAAAATAGTGTCTTTTCTATTGCTGGAAATTCTACCATCCCATCCCCACCGCTACCACCTAAAGCAAAACTGCTAGCGAAGGGTACTTTGCTTCTCAGGGATTCCCCTAAGTGCCTGGGCCTGTGTCAATTATGGTTCAGTCAGGATGAAAGCTGATGTGTGCACTGGGCTATTGCGGCTTGTTGGCCTCGGTGCCAGCTATGTAGAACTGGTAATGGACATGGTTGTCCCACTCAGTGGGTAAAACTCAAGACTCTTCTCGTAGCCCTGGCCAATACTCCTCATAATGACCTTTGTTATATTTTTCCTGATTCTTGGGCTGCTGCCAGTGGTCTGGCTGTTGGGTCTGCCACTTAGAAAATTACAGACTGGAAGATTAAAAAAAGCACTTCTCTTTAGGGCGATGAACTGTGGAAGCAAACTGTCTAGGTCAACTCATGTAGAAGCCCATGGCAAGAGTCCATTCTCTGATGAGATAGACAAGAATAAAACTACTGATTGATGCTGTACAACCCTGATTTCCTCCCCTGCTGCTTGAATCCATCATCATATTAGACATGACAATACAGCCACCAACACAGACTGGGTACGAAGTAAAGAACTGTTATAGGGGTGAAGCTGCAGCCACATTTTGAAATAGGATATGTAGACTTTGTGGTGTTTGAGGATACCTAAAGAGAGAGTATCTTCAACCTTATGGAGTACAGGGAAGAGAGAGACTTTGATGACCTTTGTTCTTTAGAACTACCCAGGACATTTTCTTCGTGAAAGAAAATCTCTTGGAGAGTCTCTCCCAAACTCTTCAAAGCACCTTACATGTAACTGACTACTGGGTCTTCCACTCCTTGCCACACAGCCCTGATCATGACTTGATTGCCAATTCTCTTCTTTGTCTAGAAGTCTGTTACCAATTGCAGTCGACAGCCCCACCTCTTGCACCTTCAATGTGAAACACCTGTCCACACCTCCAGATTTCTTCCCACTCCCATTCTCACAGCCATCACTCTTCATTCTGTGAGGGTGGATGAATGCTACTTGGCTGTTGGCAGGGACAAATAGGACTGATAATCCTCCCAAATCAAGGACCAGACTCAGTTATTCAGATTGAACTGGGAATCCTAAGACCAACCAGCCAGCTGAGCGATCACATGGAGGCACTGTCAACCTGTGCCCCCTGACTAATGTAGGTCCCACGCAAAAAAGCCCAACGATTGATAACACTACCTTTTTCTGCCCAAGAGGTACTCCCAGGATTATAGCTCTTATAGAGAAACCTGGCATTACTTTGTATGGCGCCTGAAAACATAGTGACTTATGCTTTAGGGGTGGTCATAAGAGACCTTCAAATCTTTAAGTAAATACCATCTGTAGATATGTAGACTCAGATGACTTCAGAGCTTTCCCAAAATGAAGCTATCATTGGTTACTTGAGGGAGCTTCCCCGAGGGATAGCCCCTTGTGGACAATTTATGTGCCCCTTGTGGACAATTATCCCTAAGACAGATGTCCAATTAGAAAAGGTAGAACAAAATTTGTTTCTGCCTTTAGCTAAAGTTATCAATGATACCACCTCATCCCTGCAAGACATTCAGGTCAGCAGTCAAGTCACTGGCCAGGGTCGTTATGAATGATAGAATTGCCCTAGACTTCCTCCTGTGGGTCAAGGTGAAGTCTGTGCAATGGCTGATATAGACTGCAATACCTGGGTTGATGCCTTGGACCAAATGAGAAGATCAACAGAGAAACTTAAGGAGAAAACCATCTGGTTGATGGCATTTGTTGAGTTGGAGGGGTTCAGGACCATGGATGGCATGATTGACACTAGTTTACAATATGGCCTTGTTCCTCTGCTTGGAGTTCTATTGATAGTAGCTTTAACTGAATATTGTATGAGACAAATTAATGGATGTGGTTCCCACCTCTGTTGGTCAGATTAATCAGAGTGGTATGTGCATGGGAAAATTCACCAGAAGCCAAGACACTGTAGAAATGAAAGGTAGATATTTTTAGGAAAAGTCTTTCTGGGTCTCTCACATTTCTATAAGTTGTATGAGCAGAGGCACTGAATACCTTTGCCCCAGACACTCTTTTCAAGCTTGCTTGTGTAGTGAACAGCCTTGGAAGCAAGAAGTAGGTTTGCTTACTACCCATTATAAAAGATTTGGGGTCCCTAAATTTAGAGCTCCTGTCCTGCAATCCAACCTACTATCTGAACAGGGGTCATCTGGTCCTCTTCCTACTATCATGTGGGAATTAGGATGAGTGAGATGATACAAAATTGTTAATACCCTGGTAATCCTATTGTTATGAGTAATAAAGTGCTCTCTGTCTCTGACAAAGGGTTTTGATGTCTTATGCCAAGGATCTAAGAAATTGGGGCAGGCTAACTTGTTAGCTTATAAGCAGAGTAAAATCGTAGATCTTTCATATTTCTCGACATAGATCTGCAGATGAAGAAGTCTGAGAGAGAAGAGGATGTGGTTGGAGGAGGATGTGGGATCAGTGGAGGTGTTTGTTTATTTGTGTGTCATCAGAAAGGAGATATCTAAACATATTAAATTCTAATGGAAGGTAGCATTGTTGTCTGTAATAACATAAATATGGAAAGCACCCATGTGTCCTTCAAAGTAGGACAGACAAATATGTTGTGGCATAAATGTATTACTAGACACCAGTAAAAACAAACAAAAAAACCCCCCACAGTTATATGTCTCAAAATGGTTGAATATAAAAAACGCAATAATAAGAATGAGGAAGTTAGACAGGAACACATGTAGTATAAGTTTGTTTTTGTAAAATTCAAAAACAGGTAAAAGTAAATAATGCATTATTTAGGAATATAAGCAGAGAGGACAACACAAAGGAAATGATTAACTCAAAATTCAGGATAATGATTATGAAAGATAGGGGACACAATTCAGGAGGAGAATATAAAAGGCTTTTGAGGCCTGGCAACATCTAATTTTTGGTTTGGATGATAGGTACATGGGTGCTAGTGTCATTATTTTTCTTTAAGCTGTGTATACATTTTTATATGCTACATTTTATAATTTGTTTAAAAAGTGTTACTAGAAAGGAGTCAAAAGAGAAAAAAAAGCTAAGAATATCTTCAAGAGAGAGGATATTGAGATGGCTAAGCAAGGTTGAGGGTCCACTTGCATTTAGACTCTCAAGAATTTACAGAGGCATCAGCCTGCTCAGTTGAGTGAAATTGTCTTTTTCATCTTCTTGTCCCCATTCTAAGCCCTTTCACATTCCCTCTGAAGCCTGCCTTCAGGCATTCTTTCATATAGAGGTAAGTGTTTTGCTATTTGTAAGCACCTCATTCTTGGAATCCTTAGCTTAGAAGATTACCCATGGGCCCCAGGACACCACACAGTACCTCTGTTAGATTTTCTTCTGCTGCAGTAATGAGAGGTGTATTCCCAGTCTCTGGATGCTGAAAGTCAAGGTTTCCAAGGATGGAATGGACTTTAGTAATATAGTCACCGATGAGTTCAACATCACCCCTTGAAACTACTTCCAGGAAATCATGAATCAGTTTATTTTTATTCATCTTGCTAATTCCATATAATCGCCTGCCCCTGCCAAAGAAGAGAAACAATTTAATTAAACAAGAACCAACAAAGCATGGGTGGTTCAAATGTTAACATATTCTATCTTTAGTGTCACCTCTTTCCCCTCTTTTAGGTATGAAATAACGGTTTTAAAGACAAATTTGAAAAAGAGGAAACAGTAATTCTATCAGTGTTAGTTCTGTGGACATGTTTTAAATTATAAATAACAATTTTCACCATCACTTTGTGAGAGATGCTGTGGTACAGGAGAAGAAAGGATGGATCAACACTAGAATGGAAAGAACAGAGGCTCTGGAACCTGGGTTTAAATCTCTCCTCCACAGATTCCCAACTGTGTAAACTTGAGCATGTCACTCAGTTTCTCCAAGATTAATTTCCTCATCCCTAAAATGGAAATAACAATCCCCTCTTCAAATGGTGAAGATCTGAAGTAATATGTCCAAAGCTTTGGCACTCCTTCAGCAGATGAATGGATAAAGAAGATGTGGTTCATACATGCAATGAACTATTACTCAGCCATCAGAAAGGATTTACATGGACATGTTTGGAACTGGAGGATACAATGCTAAGTCAATCAAAGAAAGAAATTACCATATGGTTTCACGCATATGTGGAATATAAGAAATAGTGTAGAGGATCATAGGGGAAGGGAGGGACAACTGAATGGGAAGAAGTCAGAGAGTCAAACCATGAGAGAGTCTTGACTCTGGAAAACAAACTGAAGGTTGTGGAAGGGGAGATAGTAGAGAGGATGGGGTAAATGGGTGATGGGCATTAAGGAGGGCACCTGATGTGATGAGCAGCGGGTGTCATATGAAACTGATAAATCACTGAACACTATATCAGGAACTAGTGATGTATAACATGTTGGCTAGTCAAATTTAAGTAAATAATAATAAATTTTAAATAAATATTAATTTTAAATAAATAAATAATAAATTTTAAATAAATAATTTTTTAAAAGCTTTGGCACATTTTATTGGTTAAAATTCTTGCAGGATTTTGTTTTTTTTCTTTCTTTTTTTAAAAAGATTTTGTTTATTTATTTTATATATAGAGAGAGAGCACAGGTAGGCAGAGTGGCAGGCAGAGAGAGAGGAAGAAGCAGGCTCTCTGCTGAGCAGGGAGCCCGACATGGGGCTTGATCCCAGGACCTCAGGACCACGACTCGAGCCGAATGCAGCTGCCCAAAGACCTGAGCCACCCAGGCGCCTCAGGATTTTATTTTCTTTAGCGCTGTTTATTAAAACCCCTGTAACTATTTTCTTTATGGAAGTTTTATTTTCCTAACAATACCGTAAACTCCTCAGAAGCAGGAACATTCTATGCCTTATATTTTGTATCCTCAATAACTCTAGTACAATGTGAGTCATTGAAGAGCAGGGTGGCCATCATTCCAGATTTTCCAGGAAAAACCTTATTTTAAATGTGTTATCTCAGCTTTCTTAATCATTGAAATATCTCTTAGAGTGCAATTTTTAAAAAATTTATTTACTTATTTATTTATTTATTGACAGAGAGAGACATAGAGATCACAAGTAGGCAGAGAGGCAGCCGGGGTGGGGGGCTCTCTCTGCGGAGCAGAGAGCCCTATGTGGGGCTCGATCCCAGGTCTCTGAGATCATGACCTGAGCTGAAGGCAGAGGCTCAACCCACTGAGCCACCGAGGTGCCCCTTAGAGTGCAATTTTTTTTTTTTTGGGGGGGGAGGTTTCTTTCTTTCTTTTTTTTTTTTTTTTAAAGATTTTATTTATTTATTTGACAGACAGAGATCACAGGTAGGCAGAGAGGCAGGCAGAGAGAGGAAGGGAAGCAGGCTCCCTGCTGAGCAGAGAGCCCGACGCGGGGCTCGGATCCCAGGACCTTGGGATCATGACCTGAGCCGAAGACAGAGGCTTTAACCCACTGAGCCACCCAGGCGCCCCTAGAATGCAATTTTTGAAGCCACCAGACTATCTCCCCCATGGAGCCTCTTGCTGTTGGAAACAGCACAAAATCATTTGTCAGACTCTGTATTCCAACTTCAGCTTCTGATACCATAGTCACTGCATGTAGGCAAATGTTATTTCTTTGAACTGGCAATTTACTTGCAATGAACTGGCACTTTGTTGAAAGCGAGAAGACAAAAAGCCCATTTCATAGTACAATTTTGTGGATAAAAGTTGACAAAAATAAACAAGAAAATGTCTAGAATTGGTTTTTAATGTTCTATATACACAAATGCCTTAGAATTCATAGGCCACACTATATAGAGCCTTCTTTTTCAAAGAGAACATGTATTTCACCCCAGAAATAGTACTATTTGATAAATTCATTCATTCATTTAAGAGGCTACTATATGGGGCGCCTGGGTGGCTCAGTGGGTTAAAGCCTCTGCCTTCGGCTCAGGTCATGATCCCAGGGTCCTGGGATCGAGCCCCATGTCGGGCTCTCTGCTCACCGGGGAGCCTGCTTCCCTTCCTTTCTCTCTGGCTGCCTCTCTGCCTACCTGTGATCTCTGTCTGTCAAATAAATAAATAAAATCTTAAAAAAAAAAAAAAGAGGCTACTATATGTTTTTCAGTTGTTTCATTGACCTGTCACAGTGGAAAATAACATAAAATAGCTATGACAAAAATGGAAGGAAAAAATTATGATTAAGTGTCAAATCAAGCAACGAATAATGAAACTTACAATGTCAGAGAAATGTGATGGTTATGTGACTGGAGCAACTCCATTGGAAAAAGGGTATCAGTAATATTTGGAGGAGTGGAGTGAAGAGGAAACAGCAGTTTTGACAGAGGGGAAGGGCATGAAAGAGATCCATAACCAGGGTCAATGAGGAGAGAGTGGACCAGATGGGAATTTACACTTTACTTCTGAACAAGTTGGGGAGCCCAAGGAGAGTTTTGAGTAGTGTCTTTTAGAAACAGTGGTATTTTGAGAAGATTATTATGCTAGAGAATAGAAAGACAAAAATAGAAATTGAAAGTAAACTTAAAGGATTTGTGACTGATTGGCAATAGAAAATGTGAAATGGGTCCAAGAGGATGTGTTTAGGCAACTGGGGAAGACCTGATGCTGCGGTAGGCAACCATTTGCTTTTATAGAATGATAATCAACAAGGTCATCAACAGAGCCAGCATGTAAGTAGGGTGTCTTATTTCCTTGGCTCTCCATGAAATGTGGCCTTAGGTGAGTGCAGTTTCCTAAACTAGCACGAGCATAAGAATTTTGCTGTTCCTTGTTATGAATAAAGATTCCCAGGTTCCCTTCAATTTAGCATGTATGGAATAAGGCTTGGATACTCCCCCCATTTTTGTTTTAATTTGAAAATTTTTACACTTGATCTTAGCCAAAAGGCCGAGAAGCAATAATTTGAAAATTTTTAATAGACTAATTTTATTTAGTCATTTTTTTTTAAAGATTTTATTTATTTATTTGACAGACAGAGATCACAAGTAGGCAGAGAGGCAGGCAGAGAGAGGAGGAAGCAAGGTCCCTGCTGAGCAGAGAGCCTGATGCAAGGCTCAATCCCAGGACCCTGATGAACCTACATACATCATTATCATCCAAAGTTCAGAATTTACTCTTAGGACTCACTTTTGGTGTTGTACACTCTAGGACTTTGGACAAATGTATAATGATATATAACCACCTTTACACTATTAGAGTATTTTCCCCTAAAAATCCTTTGTGCTCCACCTATTCAACCCCCTGACCCTCATTCCCTGGCAACCACCTATCTTTTCACTGTCTCTTGGACACGCTTTTTTTTGGCTCAAGCATTCAGGTGATTTCTATCATTAGACAATTTCTGGAAACACTGACCTTGGTTAGATTCTAATCCACAATCTTTCTTGCAATTTGTTTTCTTTTCTTTCTTCCCCTTTTTTTTTTTTTTAACATTTATTTATTTAACTGCATGAGAGAGAGAGAGAAAGAGGAAAGCGTGAGCATGGGGGAAGGAGCAGAGGGAAAAAATCTCCAAGTAAACTCCCCACTGAATGCAGAGCCTGACGCAGAGCCGATTCCGTGACCCATGAGGTCATGACCTGAACCCAAACCAAGAGTCAGACACTTAACTGACACTTAATCTGAGCTACCCAGAGCTCCTCGTTTTATTTCCTAATTGACATTTAGCATTACCACTTATTCCTTTTGATTCAAATTTCTTAGAATAAATACTGTTTTTCCCTAAATTTCTAATAGGGAAAAAATTGAAATAGAGAATCGATTCCTCAAGTCTCTCCCTAGTTTTGTTCAAAGTGCTGTTACATCATCATCATCATCATCATCATCATCATATAATGATAACAGCAATATTGTCTAACATTTATTGAATGCTTACTACATGCCATATGCTATTCTAAATGCTTTACATATATCTTATCTATTTAATTCCAAACAACACCATCAGGAGAGTAGTATTATTACCGTATTTTACAGGTGAGGAGAATTAGGCACAGGTGTTAGCAAAATGGGCTCTCACCCAGGAGACATGTGGGTGCTAGCACCCAAAAAGACTTAATGCAACTCGTATTTAAAGGAACATTCGTAAAGTAGTCTTATTTTCACTTCTTTGGATCCTAGGTAGAGAGGAGTGGGTTAATCATACCCACTAGTAGTACTAGGTTGGATCTAGTTTTCCTCTTGTTTTATTTTATTTTTTCTTTCTTCAACTCTGATCCCTCCCACTTCCTCTGCCCCAAGGGAGCCAATCTGATGTGCCCAAGAGCTATCCTCAGGTAGATTGCTTTAAAAGCATATAGTGCTGTTATGTATGAGGGCTTGTCTTAAATTTGAATAAATAGTATTGTTACTTACTTTTTTTTTATTTATTTATTTTTAAAGATTTTGTTTATTTATTTGACAGACAGAGATCACAAGTAGGCAGAGAGAGATGGGGAAGCAGGCTCCCTGTTGAGCAGAGAGCCCTATGCCGGGTTGGATCCTAGGACCCTGGGATCATGACCTGAGCCGAAG